GTGTGTGTGTGTCTTTTTGAGACAGGGTGTCCTGGAACTCACTATGTAGACCAGGCTGGCCTCTAACTCACAGAGATCTGCCTGCCTCTTCCTCCCAAGTGCTGGGATTAAAGGTGTGCACCACCACGCCTGGCTCTTTATAGTTTTAAAGGAACACTGTTTAAAGGACTTTAACTGTCTATCTTAAACCTGTTATAATCAACTGGGCTATAGCAGCTGGTCGACAGTAAACAAACACTGAAGTAAGAATGTGCCCAAGAGCCAGTTTCTTCCTGCTGCTGGCTGCTGGCAGCAGGTTGACAGTAACCAAGATTCCAACAACCAGAGAATGACTGTACAGTACACTGAGAGGGGAGATGCACTGGCCTAGAAGAATTAGACAGAAACTGATATGTGGCATTTCTATAACTACCACAAATGGCCCTGGGGTTCATTTATCAACTGTTTTCACCTAAGGAGATGAAAGCTGAACACAAAGCTAATATATGATCATCTTTTTAAAAGACCCACAGTATAGAAGCCTTTCAAATGGACAGATCTCTCTGAGCCGTCACAAGTAGCCAGCAAAAGATAATAAGGAATCTAGTCACCCCACAGAGGAAAGCAGGAACAAGCTGAGCTGCCTTAGCTGGTGTGCAGTCCCTGAGCCTGCACTGTAGATGACACTTCCTTTACATACTGAATGTGAAGAAAATGACCACGCAGAAGTCTGCTCTACTGCACATCTTCCCTCTCAATGCCAACTCTATGCTCAGACAGGGCCTGGACAGTCTGGGTCTATCAGGACCCTGCTCTTGTGAGAATGAATAGAAGGATGGGGCAGTGGGAAGGTAACTGAGGAAAGTCTCTATCTTGGACAAAGGAGAATGAGCAGGTACCAACACATCAGCTGCTCTGTGATAGGAAGAACATCTTAAGGCCAAGTACCACTGCAAGTGCTAGGGTTGGGCCAGAAATAAAGTCTCTCTGTGGAAGGCCCACTGAAAAGTCCTTCCATAATCAGGAATTACTCTAGTTTCTTCTCGGGCTTCCTTCTAGTCAAAAAAACCTAAGAAGCCTACCACTTGAAGGTCCATTCACGAAATGGAAAAGGAAGAAGCACAGAAGAGCCAGGAGGAAACAGGTAAATTTTCCCAGTTTGATTTAACAGGAAAACAAAGCATAGTGAAGGATGGTAGCCTGGCCCTTCCAGGGACAGGCTGACATAGGTGGATGGCAGCAAGGGCCACAAGGTAGTTCAGTCTTTCTAAAAACAGAGTTTAGAACAGTTCCATGCTAAATTTAATCTGAGGCATGTGTTTACCTCAAAGTAGTTAAGAATATATTCAGTCAGGTCCTAGCTATAGCATAAGAAATTAGGTGACAGGCAAAGAAAATGTAGACAGGAAATGGCAGAGGCCATAGGTGGCTGCTTTTTTCTGCATTTCTCTTCTGTTGTTTTAGATACAGGGTCTTGCTATGTAGCCCTGGGGCTAGACTGGGATACTGTGGCAGACCAGGCTGGCCCTCAAACTTGTGATCCCCCTGCCTTAGTCTCCTGAGTGTTAGGATTACATGTGACTGCCACCATGCCCATGTCTGTCTTCTGCTCTTTAAAAGCAAATGAAAACTCAGGAAATCCATCTGGGCACCATGGATCACACCTTAATCCCAACCAGCCATCTGAACACGCTATGATAGTACTAAATAGGATACATGAATTCCCAATTCTGTCTCACATCCTTGGGGGAAATCAAAATAACCCTCTACTGGAAGTCCCTGTCCTGATAAGATCTCAGACATACCAGGGAGCCGCGTCCAAATTGGTTTCTAACTTTACATTCCCAGGTACCTTGGGGAAAACTGATATCCAAATAATCTGAAACAACTTCCTAATCTGCTTTGATCCAAAATGATCACCTTTTTTATTTCTAGAGAAAGAGATGCATGCTAACTTTGGAACAATGAGCTAAGGCAGGGGCTAACTCCCTTGGACAGAGGGGTACAGTGGTCCCTTAGAATGTCTCCCTCTCTGGGAGTGACTGCCTCTGTGCCTACACCCAGCAGGTGCACCAAAATGACTCTGGGTCCTCATGTGGACACTGGGGATCATCTAAGGAAGAAGCCCACCCATCTCTGCTCTGGAGAATGCCCTGGAAGGGGTGGTCCCCATAGCCTAATACTCAAGTACACCTGGTCTCACCCCTGGCTAGCCATCGTCTACTCAGGTAGATATTCAGTACACATTCAGTACAGCTGTAAACCCTTACTAGGTTCAATGGGGTAAATTTTAGTCTCTCACTTCCCACTGAACAACCATGCCAACTATACTGCTCACCAATACACAACCCTGTTCTGTGCAAGCTAGTCCAGATGTCTAAGTACCCAGAGTCCTCCCCCCATGGCTGAGCGTGACTTCTACTAAAGTCATAGCTTTGTAATAAAAGTAAAATAAAATAGCCCTAAGAAATGTAATGATTGCAGGTATATAGAGAAAAAGTATTTAAAGTTTTGAACTTTAAGGTAGATGTATGTATTTTGGTTTTGAGAGACAGGGTCTCATATAGGCCAAGCTTCTCTGTAACTAAAATGGACTTGAATTCCTGATCCTCCTGCCTGTGCCTCTCTAATGCTGGAATGACAGGCATGAGCCACCATGCCCAGCTAGAATTATTTAAATAGTTTTCTACCAACTTTCTTTACAGATCTTGATCTACTTGTACAGGAAAAAAGGAAAGAAGGCAAGGGACACAAATGCTATGGGGCTTTAACGTGGCATCAATCTGGGAAGGAGTCCACACCTTAGAACACCTTTCACTAAAAACAAGACCCAACTACTAGAGATGAAACATGAAGTCTTTTTCAAGTCAGTTAAGACAATGAAACAAGCTGACTGTTGTGGCAGAACAGGAATGTCCCCCACATACTCCCAGGCCTGTGCTTTAAGGACACCTAAATCATCAAATGCATTAAAAGAATGGAGGGGCTACAAAAGAAGAGAGAACCTATACAAGGGCAAGTACGCAGCACACATAGGGTTTCCCAAGCAATTCAAAGGTGTTTTTCTTGGAGGAATTTAGTGTCTACTAAGGAATAAATCACTTTAAGTTTTCAGTTTAAATGCTTTTTGGGGGCTGGAGGGGTGTTGGGGACAAGATCTCACAAAACCTAATCTGGTCTTGGACTTACTATATAGCTCAGGGTGGTTTCAAACTCAGAGCAATCCTCCTGCCTCAGCTTTCTACTTGCTTAGAATACAGGCGCGAGCCACTACACCTTGTTGAAAATGAATTTATAACAAACTTATTTGGGGGTTTCAGGGAGGCAGCTGGGTGTGGTGGTTCTAATCTCACCCCTCAGGAAGTAAAGGAAGGAGGATCAGGAGTTCAAGGTCATCTCAACTACACAGTGAGTTCAAGACCAGTCTGAGCTACATGAACCCTGTCTCAAAAAATCAAAAACAAGGGCTGGGAGATTGCCCAGTGGGCAAAGTGCTTACTGGATAAGCATAAGGACCCGAGTTTGAATTCTCAGAACCCATGTAAAGCCAAGCATTACAGTATAAGTCTAGAATCCCAGTATTCCTGTGGTAAGATGGGAGGTGGAACAGGGGACTCTGGATGCTCTCAGACTAGCTAGTTTGGTGTATGCAGTGGCAGACATCAAAGAAACCCTGTCACAGACAGTGGAAGAAAAGGTTGTTTTCTAACCACTGGACACACACACTCCACCACCAAATCAAACAAACAAACAAACAAACAAACAAACAAACAGCCCAAAACCCAAAGGAGGGACTGGGACCACCACCTATGTGCAGGAATGCTGCAGCTGCTCACTTTAGATCATGTTAGATCACAGAGGACTGCACCTTGCAGGCACCTGATCTAGCACTCACAGCATCATCTCTCCTAGCTCATCTGAGGACTGCAGGTCTCCTTTTCTGGAATGCCTCATCTCCTTCCTGGGGTAGGGGCTTCTGCAGTGGATGTGCTCTGTTCCAACAGGAGAAGCACAGGGCTACTTTATATCCAGAAGGCTCTTACTCATGGCACATAAGACACTGGCCTTTACCCATTCCAGAAAACTTACCTAGTTCTCTCTGCTAGAGACAGACATGAACTGGACACCCTCTTGATGAACTCTAAATACTTATGCAGATGTTGGAATTGCCCCAGCCTTCCCTATTTTTAGGCCATTCCCTGTTAGCCTGTGATTGCCTGGTACAGCCTTCTGTGGTCTCTTATACAGCCCTGAAATCCACCCCTGCCCATTTACTCTCATCGTGCAAACTGAACTTACAGTACTGTTCTCTCACAGCTGACAGACAATACCAGCAAACAAGAGACATACCTCTCACCTAACCCATATTGGGGCCTATGGAACTGCCCTTTGGCCATAGAACATTGGCAGATGGCTTAAAAAATGGTCAGTTTCTGAGAAAAACAGAAATATCTGGGACATATTTACGCTCATGAAATATTAACATCTATGAATCTTGTTTTCCAGACAGGAGCACAGGAGTCTGCCCTGAGACATGTAACCTAAGAATGCTGAGTTTGGAGTTCTTTGGTTCTCTGAGGTGCCAAACAAAGGCAAGTTTGGAGGCAAATGGGAAGAGGGCATCCCCTTGGGAAGAGGGCTCCTATGGCTGAGAGGTATGTCATGGGGTTACAGAGAAGGAAGACAAGGCCCTACCCTGAGTGTGAGAGACAGAGGGGGAGCGTCCGATCAGCGGCCGCTGCTGTTCACCAGGCCATGAAACTCCTCCCAGGCCCTGGCAAACCAGAGACAAAAAACAATAGCACATTCAGATCAAACGCATTGAACAGAGAGCAGACACCATCACCCCACTTCCCACTCTGATGCCCTCCAGGCCAAGTGGAGCCATAGGGAGCTGGGAATAGAGTGGTGAGGTTCCTGGAGGGCTTTCTTCGTAGTAGATGGGCAGGTAGCCTGACACTTCCAGCTTGCTCTGTTTGGGAAGTCTAACCCTCACTACTCCCCCAAGAACTTGCCTGTGTTCTTCAACAAGGCTAAAGGGGAGGCCACTGAGGTCAGAGCTGAAGCTCAGCCATGACACAAACACTTCCAACTTACTGTTGCAAAGGGCAACAGTGCTTGCCTTTTCTGCACTGGGTCCTGGGGAAGCAGGCATTAGAAACCACCTTTCTTCCTCAGGCCCCACCCCAAGAGTAAAGCCGAGTAACCATCAGCATTATGATGTTTAAAGATGCAATTCAGTTATATATCACTTTTCTCTGCTCTCCTTTTCCAGTGTCCTAATCGTTCTAACCCAAGACCCTAAATATGTCTGATTCTATCTGCTTCTAAAAACACTGCTGTAACTCCTATCTTTAGATTTAAGCTGTGTAGGTAGGTCATAGCAGTTAAAATTTCCAGAGAACAGAGCTCATCAAAACTTCCATGCTGAGTAGCACAATTCAGAAATGCGATTAGGAAGGAGTTAGAAATGTGACTAGCAGGGTACACACACAATCACAGCACACTGAGCAGTCAAGTGTTTCAGGAACAGGCCCTTGGTGACTGCTAGGTGAGAAAGGAGAAAATCAGATCCTGTAGGTCAGAAGTCTGCAACTTCTAACCACTTCTAAGTTTTCCAGAAAAGCTGTTTTCCTACCTTTTGCCCTAGCCACTTCTCACCCCCAAAGCAATGAGTTTCTTAGGTATTATATACAAAACTTGATGCTTCTAAATCTGAAGCTTTTTATTATCAATTCTATTACTGGTTTAAGGTGGTAACACAGCACTCAGAGTGGTAATATACCAAGTCACTATGCATTTAAAGAATAATTTCTTTACCAGGCTTTCTAAGTAGTTTTTCTTTTCTTTTTTTTTCTTTTTTTTTAAAAAAAGGTGGTGCACACCCAGTACTTGGGAGGCAGAGGCAGGTGGATCTCTGTGAGTTTGAGACCTGCCTGGTCTACCTTGTGAGTTCTAGGCCAGCTGGGGCTACAGGAAGACTGTCTCAAAAGGACAAAAAAAAAAAAAATTAAATAAGGAGACGTGGTGCACCTTCGTTACTCTGGGCAATGTTTACCGCAGTTTCATCACTATCTTCCTCTAGAACAGCAGCACTGATAATGGTTTCTTCAATATACTACCAGATCTACGCGCTTGTGGCAACCGACTTGACTATTCAGAATGCGCTACAACATGTGGGTTCCCAAGCTCAGTTTCCACAGCAGGATGCACACTCCACACCCCTTTGTGGACAGCCAGTGGTAAGGTTGTACTCAGTTCCTGAGGAATGTTGGAGGCAATTTCAGTCCTCAATCCACAGGAAAATCCAACACTTGGGCACTGACCTGGGAACTGTTCTCTAACAGCGAGATTCAACTTCTACTTAAGTAACCTAGATGTCAACGTAACAGGGCTGCAGTTTATCTTGTTTATCCTTTTGTTTCCAGAAAGGCCCATGCCTACTACACTAGCCTAAACAAAGCAACAGGTTACTGGGTCAAGATCTGGAAGAAATGTGGACTCCAGAGATCCCACTAGTCTACTCCAGAATAAACTGCCTCCTGCCTCCTTCAGAAATATCTTTCCTGTATGTTAAATCCAGACACGAAGATTTTGGGATCAGGAATTTCTCTGCATGGATTCAGTGGAAATAAAGCCACCGGCCGTAGATTTTGGGATAATCAAAGTTCTCTGTCTTACAGGCCAGCCAGGTGTAACTTTCTAGCTACGTTCCTTTTAGCATCCCAGACATTAGCTAACATTAAAACTTTCTTCTTTAAAAGGTAAAGAATAAGCTAAACTAAAAATTGTCACGACTGGAGTTTCTAAAAACAAACCACCGAAATCACTGAGGTTAAGATAGTCTACTGGGAATTCTGAACAGATTCCAGTTCCAATAAAAGCAACAAAGAGTCTTTTCAGGTCCACCAGTCCCATCTCACTCAGAAAGCAAATTCTGAGAGCAGAGAGATCTCATTTCTGTGTTATGTGATTCCCTATCCCTGTTCAAAGTTGATGGGGATCAGTCTTGCCCTTGGCCAGCTCAACATGCAAAGAGAGGCCTGGCCTCCAGCTAACTGGGCTTCCCTTCAAGTACCTGCATGGAGGAATAGTGTACAATGTGCCCTGAGGCCAGCCACTCTGCTAGAGTGACCTAGGGTCACCAGGTTATGACTGAACTAGGTCAAAGTAAGGGGGTTCATCCCCATTCACATTCAAGTTCAATGCTGAAATACAATGATAATCCAGGCCGAGTATACTTGGCCTGCCTCTCTTTTAGACTAAAGATTAATTCCTTCTCTCTCACTCTGTAGAGAAGTCCCACCAGTCTTCTCCAGCACTGCATTCCACCATGGGAAACTGGCTCTTTTTCCACCCAGACCAGATGCACAAAAGAATTAGTGGGGGCAATTCCAAAGAGGCATTTTCTCACAAAAGACAGGGCTGTATTAAATGGCTCTGCACCCCGGTGGCCCAGAATTTTGACTGTTAAGAATTTTCTCCTCAAGAAGAGGATACAGTTAACCATTTGATGCAAAGACCCAAACCTACGAAAACTCACTATACGTTTGTCTCATTAGGAGGAGCCATGAGCTAGGTGTGGTGGCATACACCTCTAATCCCAGTACTTGGATGGAGGCCAGTGTGGGCTACATGACAAGTTCCAGAGCCATGGCCTGACAAAAACTACAATTTAATAAGCTTTATACTTTTTAGGATTTTTCAGCAATAAACAAGAACAAAGCCTTCTACAGCAAAGCGGTTCATCACCTGTCTGTAGGACAATGGCTACCTCATGGTTCACTTAGGGGTGCTGCAGGAAAAGGCAACAGGCAGGGTGACTCGGGAAGGCTGGAAAGACAAACAGTGAAGGACACTGGACACAAACGCACAAGCTGTAGGAATGCACGGCTGAAGTAGAGCCATTCCTAAAAACATGGCCCTCGTTTCTGTAGCAGCCCTGCTCACATACATGAGAGGAAGCATCACCAATGGCTTTCTTCCTTTGTTTTTCTTTGAATTCTTGAGCCTCAGCAGCTGCTGTTCAGTGGCTCAAATAAGAGCCACAAGAACAGACCAAGGCAAGGCCAGTGCTGACTTCTCACATGTGGCCAGGCTCTGAGGGGTCTCAGGCCAGTCTGGTGCTGACAGACTCTTACTCTGGAGGGTGACATCAAGTTCGTTCTCTGGTGCAGTTACAATGTGGCTGAAATTAAGGTCAACACATGCACCCTCACAGTGAAGACAAGGCAGAGGGGCCAGAGAGTCGCTGTTTGACAAGTACTAAACACAGCCCACAGGGCCTATCCCCATTTCAGCAAATCTCTCATTTCCTACATGCTTCAGCCAATTTTGGGAATGTGATAAAAAAAAGCAATTACATAAACACTCCCAGACCGTGGAACCTGAGGTCTCACTGTGTGTTCTGTGGGTTCCTGGGTCACATGGTGACTAGGGTTGAATCAGTCACAGGGTACTGCTGCTAGAGTAAAGACAGCCACTCTGGAAAACTCAACTTTGCAGTTCTGGCACTTGGACCCAGAATTTACAAAAATGATTGTTTTTCAGTTTGGAGGGAGCTCCTAAGAAAATCTAGTATTGTGAGGGTTGCTGACACTCACCATGCAGGTTAAGGGCCTGAAGGCCAAGCTGCAAGCACACACAGGAGCCAAAGCCACAGAGCCTACGAAGCTGGTATGTGCACGTTCAGACTGCCTCAAAGGTGAACTCCCACAGGATGAAGGCTTCTCCCACCCTAGACCCTGGCACAGTAATCCTGGGCTGGGAGGAAAGGAGGGCTCTCACAAAGCAAGGCTCCCAAAGAGGAAGAGGATCTGTTCTGCACGCAAAGGGAGGAGGGTGGCAAGCAGCTTTGGCACCAGAGAAAATCCCATTAGCACAAAGCAAGAAAGTATGTAGTATGGCCACAGACAGACAGAAGCAGGGCTTTAGTTCCAAGCAAGAGATTTCTATGAAGTAAAGGCAAATGGAAGCTAGCAAAGAAAAGCCAGGGATCCCCCTTTCTAGTCTTAAGAGACATTCAAGTTGGATCTGAAACCAGATACCACTCTCAGCTGGGCATCTGCATGACTAAATGGAACTAGCGCATGTGAAGAGGTAGTGGGATCTTACTTTTAGAGCTGGGTGTCAACTCATTATGTTAGACCTCAACAGTCCTGGAACAAAGTACCATATGACTAAACAACGGGCTCATGGATATGAAGCCACATTCCCTGGATGGCCCTGCATGGAGAAGTCTGTGTGCCATCCCCTGATAATGGTGACAGTCAATCCAAAGGTCACATCCTGATGCACCATAAAGAGCAAGAGCATGAGACAAGCTAGTTCAGCACCATTTATTTGTGATCTCAGCTGTTGTTGTAGCTGCTGCGTGTCAGCCTGTTCTCAAAGCATAACATGCTCTTCATTCCTCTTGTCCAGGACAGAAGGGTCTTCCAGGTGGCACGCCAACAGAACAAGAGACTCCGATGACGCCAGCTTCAATGATGGTGCCATCCAGAGAGGAAGAGGGTCATGGCACATTCAATCGCGGCTTCCAGAGGTTTTGAAAAAGGAGCCTTTGGGGGCCCAGCCTGCCTGGCATTCTAGTGGAAGTGCAAAAGGTGGCTCATTGGAAGAGGAAAGAGAGTGGGGAGCAAGGGAAAGTGGCATCTGGGTCTTAAGGAGGGTGTTACAGCTATAGGGCTGGAGTCCCAGAGGCAGGCCTCTGGGGAAAGCAGGACTCAGCAGGCCAGTCTTCCTAGCAGGCATTAGTCCACAGGCTTTCCTAGGTCCTGGAAGGACTTATTCATGTGATTTTACAAGTCAGGATGAACTGCCTCCAAGTATTAGAAAAGGAGAACAGTAGAGAGTGTTGATGAAAACTACCTCTTTCCCTTTCCTGCCCAAGTGGCTTTGGGGGTGGGGTAGGACAATGGGAACCCTGAAAACAAGAATCCTAGAAAAAGATGTGGATCTCTTGAGCTTAGACTAAACCTAGTAGGAGGGCAGACACGACTTCTATCCTGCAGCAGAGAATAAGACAGATCAGCTCCAAGAAAAACAGTGTTGATATAGGATTGCTGAGGCAAGCAACCAGGGCCACAGGTGGCAAAGGAGGGCTGGGGCTACAGTGAGTCATAGCCAGCCATCTGATGGTGGACCAATTCCCATGGCAGTGCTCCCAGTTAGAAACTGGCACCTAGCTGGCATAAGCAAACTCCACCCACAACATCATATGCAAATGCATGGGAAAGAGATTCCCACACAGCCTGCCTGCTGATGAACACAACCACTGGCTACTTGTCTCAAATAAGAATGCCATGATGATAACACTGTTACTAATGATGATGATGACGGCAATAATACTTGGTCTTATAAGAGCTTTCTTGCTCTGAGGACTGTCAGTTACAAAGATTAAGCCAGTCTCACCATAGCCTTATGATATAGTATACTATACTCCCTATTTTATAGCTGGGGAAACTGCAGCTGAGTTGCACACTCACCAAAGGCACACACTGACTCGGGGCTACAGGAGAGGATAAACATAGAGTCTTGACTCCTCGTTGGCTGGCCTTCCTTCTACCTTTGAGACAATCTGGCAGCCACTCCCAACCTATTCATAATGACATGGACTTATCTCTGGTCATGTCACTTGTCCCTGAAGGAGCAAGCCCTCACCAGTGATTCTCACTGTGGACAGACCTCACTGCCCTGAGTTCTGAGTAGGCTGCAAAGCTCTCCCCCATGACTCTACCCTTCCTTCCTTTCTCCTCTCTCAAACTGCCCTACTTCCTCTAGACTTCAGCTCTACACATAGAAAGGGAGTCATTCCTGATAAGAAGTCAATCTCCCAAGACAAAGGAAACAGACTAAAGCTAACAGGTTAAACAGACATGCAAAAGTGGGGTAAGGGGTGGGCAGGGAAGAGGACTTTATTTTTCAGTGAAATTGTCTTAAAAACAGCCATGTTTAAAAGCGCTTTGTCTTTCATTTTAAAATAGTGGTTAGCATAGGAAAGACAACACAGCCTGCAGAAACAAAGCCAGCCCAGGCAGGACAGGGCTCTCTGCTTACAGCACCTCACGGCACATGTCCTCAGGGAGCCTCACCAACAACATCAGCAAGTGGCCAAAGCCCTGGAGGGGGCTGGTATGTCCCTTCTCCACAAGCCAGTGTCATGTATGACCACATGCCTCTGGGCCCAACTATGGAGCTACTTCTGCTAAGTTCAGGGACCTGTCCCCGCCCCCCCCAAGCCCCCCGACACGTACTTGATGCTGTCGGTGTGAGTTTTGTATTCCATAATGGTGTTGGGAGGTAGGTTAAGCACGCGCCGAAGAGTATCCCGGATTCGGGCTGTGGTTGCTTGGTCGCTGGCAGTCTTATTCCATATAGAAATAATGTCCTCCTAAAGGAGGAACAGAATGTATCATCAAAGCAAACTAGAGGTGGCAAGGAGAGCAAGGGCAACCCAAGAAAGCAGACTAGCCTGGGAGGGCTTACCTGAAAACGCACAGAGACCACAGCTCCGCAGATCTCCTCCCCCACCATGAACTGCTCCCCCAGCATGGCCAGGATGAGATTCTCCCAGCAACGGGAAGCTAAGCCCTTTCGCAATCGAATGATCCACTTGCCACCATTTTTATTTGCATCATCCTATAGAAAGACAGACAGAAAGAAAGGTGAAATATTGGCTCACAGCTTCATCTTTGAACATCAAAGGAGTACCTTTGAAGACCAGAGAACTCTGCTTACTTTTCAATTCAACTTTTTAGAAAAAAGGGGGGTGGGTAAGATTACAAAGAAAAGAAATAGGGAACAAAATAGATAAACAAGGCAGGCATCCTAGGTGTAAGTCACTAAAAAAAATGTTTAAATACATCTTTTAAAAAGGACCCACTTTGAGGGGCTGGAGAGATGGCTCAGTGGTTAAGACCACTGGCTGCTCTTGCAGAGGACCTGGGTTTGATTGTCTATAACTCCAGTTCCAAGGGATCTGACTCCCTCTTCTGACCTGTGGGCACTGCACAACATGGGTATACCTACATAGATGCAACACACTCATACACATAAAATAAAAATAAATGAAATTTTTTTTTTGAAAAAGCACCCACTTTTATCACAACTATTTCCAGATTCAAAATACAGACAGACCATTTATCACCATTTGCTAAAAATTTACTGAGCGTCACCAAGTACATGGACAGAAGCCCAGATTTCAGCTCAGAATCAATATAGTACAGAAGAAAGAAAAAAAAAAACTTTAAGCAAAACCATGCAGCCTGGTGAGTGCTACTGTATCTAGTATGCACACGATGGTAAGAGAGTGCACAAGCTACAGAGGCTCAGAGGAAGCATTTAGGCTGCTCTTGAGGAAACAGGGAACTGTGGGCACTGGGAGAAACATGCCTGCACACGGAGCCAGGGAGATGTGAATAGGGAGGGCTAACTGAAGGGAAGGGAAGATGTAGGTATCTCCAAGAGCATTTTTTTCCCTAGAAAAATGCTCTGACACTAAAATAGAAGATGTGTTACGACCAAGTAATAGCTTTGCAAAAAGACCACAGAGCTTACCTCTATCTGAGCCTCTTTTACTCCAAGCTTTCTGTTACCACTTTAACTATCTGTCTACTGTGTAAAGGTATTCCATATAAGCACGCACACAGACATGAGTTCTATGGAAACAAGGGCATTTTTAATTTTTTTAAAAAAGATTTTATGTGTGTGAGTGTTTTGCCTGTGTATATTTAAGTGCATCCATGTTGTGCAATGCCGGAGGAGGCCAGAGGAGGGTGTCAAATCCTCTGGAATTGGAATTATAACAGTTATAAGGTATCATATGGATGCTGGCAATTGAGCCTGGGTCCTCTGGAAGAGCAAACAATAATCTTAATCACTGAGTCATTTCTCCAGCCCCCACAAGGGCATTTTAAAAAGCCTTTACTACTGTAATATCACTTGCATGAGAGAACCATCTTTAAGGCCCCCTACAGCAGTAATCCATGCAACAGCATCAACGCCTTTCCCTAAAGTAGCAGGCTCCCAGGCTGTATCAAACAGTGTGGTAACCAAGAGAAGACTTACAAAAATAGTGCTAACCTTAAAATTCAAAACAAAAAAGAAAAAAAAACTTGTTCCAAAAAAGCAGTCAGAGACCTCAATCCTCACCTCCCACATAGGCTTAATTCCTTCCTTGAAGAGATGGAAGTCACTGTGTCCAGTCAGGTCCCCAGGACGTACCATGTGGCTATAAAACCTCCAGAACTGCTCCACCTGCAGGAAGAAGACCCAGAGTACAAGGAATACATCTTCTCTCCCTGAAGAGTATAAGCACGGAGACAGCTAGCCCTATTATAAGACACATCTTTATTTGGGGAAGTGTAGAAAGGAGAGCATACGAGAAATATTAGAGAAAAGCAATCATACAGGTTTTTTATTTGGTTTGAGAACAAGGTCTCATGTAGCCCAAGCTGGCTTCAAATTTACTATGTAGCTGAGGTTGGCCTTGAACTCCTGATCTCCCTCCTGCCTCCACCTCCCGAGGGCTAGGATTCTAAGCATGTACCACTATCCCTGGTCAATATTGCTCAATAAAAGAAGAAAAAAGTAACAGTTTCAACACAAGAATAAACTCTGGGTCAGAATGCTGGCTTGGCCAGAGGTTTTTACGCTGCAAAGCACCATAATGAAACATACCTTCCCACTGAACCTGCTGGATAATCATCCTGAGAAGTAAGAGCACTAGCTTTTGCACAACTGAAACTCTTTAGTCTTGAGATATGGTAAACATCACAAAGTCTCAGCTTGAATGCATTTACTTGTAGAACCAAATCAATCTTTTCTTTTGGTTATTTGAGAAAGTCTTCACCCTACAGCCCAGGCTGGCCTGGAACTAACCATGTACCTTGGTCTGGCCTTGAACACTACCTCTCAAGTGCTAAAGTTATAGGTAGCCACCACATCTAGCCCCAATCTAAAAAAAAATTTTTTTTGAGACAGGGTCTCATATATACTATGCTGGCCTTGAACTTGTTATGTAGTCAAGGATGACTTTGAAGTCCTGCTCCTCCAGCCTCTACCTCTTGAGGGCTGGCATTACAGGCAAGTGCCACCATACCCAGTTTATGTAGAGTTGGGGATCAAATCCAGGGTTTCATGCATGCTAGACATTCTACCAATTAAGCTATATCCCAGCCCTTGTCCCATCAATTTTTAAAAGTATTTGTTATTTTTATTTTTTATGTGGATGAGTGTACTGCCTGCGTGCAAGTGTGCCTGTGTCATGCAATGCTCATGGAGGTCAGAAGAGGGCACTGAATTCCCCTGGAACTGGAGTTAAATATGTTTGTTAGATACCATGTGGATGCTGAGAATTGAACTCAGGACCTCTGCAAGAGTAGCCAGTGCTCTTAACCGCTGAGCCATCTCTCCAGTCCCCAACACTCCCATCAATTTTTCTTTTGGTCTTTTTGAGAGAGGGTCTCCCTGTAGCTCCAGCTGGCCTGGAACTGACTATGTAGACAAGGCTGGCCTTGAACTCACAGAGATCTGCCTGCCTCTGCCTCCCAGGTGCTGGATTAAAGGTGTGCACCACCACACCCAGCTCCTCCATCAATTTAATTTAATTTATTTATTTTCCTCCATCAATTAAAAAATATTTTAATATTTTTATTTTTTATGTGGATAAGTGTATTGCCTGAACGTAGGTCGGTGCACCTGTGTCATGCAATGAATGCCCACGGAGGTTAGTGAGGGCACTGGATCCCCTGGAACTGGAGTTACAGATGATTTTTAGCTGCCATGTGGATGCTGGGAACTGAACCCAGGTCCTCTGTAAGAGCAGTCAGTGTTCTTAACTACTAAACCATCTCTCCAGCCCCTCCCATCAATTTTTAGCAAAAGGTTATTTTTCATGGCAAATATAGCATTAGCTGAAATGAAATACATTTTAGCCGTTTAGTTACTTAGTTAATTAACCACTATTTTATACCAGGGTGTTGTTGCTGAGGCTAGAACAGTGCAGATAAGATGAGATATGGTTTCTCAGAGCTAGGGTTTCCATCCCCCCTCTGAGCTGGAAAAATCATGTTTCTCCTTGATCTATCTTCAACTTTGGTAGAAAACTAGACTTATATATTTTTTTCAAATGTGTGCACCCAATTGTAATCCCAGCACTCAGGAGGCTGGGGGATAGGGATCACCAGACTGAACTATTTAGTGAATGACCTTGCCTCAAAGCCAAACAAGCAAGCAAGCAAGCAACGAAGCAAGCAAGCAAACAAAAAGCAGGGGCTGGAGATGCAGCTGGCTCAATGTTAAAAGCACTTGCTGCTCTTCCAAAGGGCAGGAATTTGGTTCCTAATACCCGCATCGGGCAGCTCACAGCAACTGTAACTCTTAGGGGATCAACTCTCTCTTCTGGCCTTCCTAGACATGTGTGTACACACAGACACACACGTAGACGCAGACACATAGATTTAAAACAGTAACAAAAATCCTCGAACTCATTCATACTCATCACTCTGGTCCTTGTTCTCACTAGTGTCTTCAAAGGAGACACTATTCCCTTGTGATTCTCCAAGGATACCCACTAAGTACTAGCTAGTGAAGAGGTACACTTTAAGAAAGAAGAAACATGGAATAATAGGAGGAAAAAAAAAAAATCACTGGTATTTGTCAGTGCCACACTTAGGAGGCAGAGTTAACAAGACACCACGATTATGGTAGGAAACAGGTATCAGTAGATTCAGGTCATACTTCTAATCTAAACTGACCTCACATCACATGAAATGCTATTCTTTCCAGCTGCCCTCCAGAGCAGAACATGTGAAATGTCCTACATATATAAAAGTCAGAACTAGGGGCTGGAGAGATGGCTCAGTGGTTAAGAGCACTGGCTGCTCTTGCAGAGGACTGGGTTTCAAATCCCAGCACCCACATGGCAGCTAACCATCCATAACTCCAGTTCCAGGGAAGCCGACGCCCTCTTCTGTCCTCCATGGGCACTGCATTATATGGATGCACTTATGCACATGCAGGCATAACACTCACACATAAAAAAAATAATAAATCAAAAAATAAAGTCAGAAACTAATGCTATCTGTGGAATTTCAACATAGTGTCTCAACTCTACAACTGCAAGGTTTACCTGTAAATATAGTCATTTGGAATATTAAATGGTCATACGTGTATACTTAGCAGTATTCTAAACCTTTAGTCACTCTGACAGTTAAAAAAAAAAAAAACCAGAGTATACCTACCAGAACTAAGGCTCACTGTAAACTAGGAATGGAGGGGTGTGGTGGGAACAAAGTATATCAATTCCTCCGTCAAAAATCACTTCACAGTCCAGTCTCTCTGATCTCAACAGGCAAAAATGCAGAATTTTTTTTTTGGGGGGGGGGTCTTTTTGAGACAAGGTCTCCTTGTAGCCCCAGCTGACCTGGAACTCACTATGGAGACCAGGCTGGCCTTGAACTCACAGAGATCCACATGCCTCTGCCTCCTAAGTGCTGGGACCACAGGTGTGCGCCATCACGCCCCGCTAAAATGCAGAATTTTGTACCCACAACACAGAGAGAAGAAATAAACAGCTTGAGAAATACCACTAAATTTGAAGATCTCTTTACAAAAGTTCCAATTCAAGCCAAAAATAGAGTATGCGGTGAGGGAAGGACCTCAGGAAGCTACTGTCACACTCTTGCTACACGGCCGAGACAATGGTTGCAGGACTTGCTCCAGCGTACTCAAGTACCAACATGGATTTTTTTTTTTTGATACAGGGTCTTGCTCTATCTTGGGTTAGTCTAGAACTTGTGATTCTCCTGCCTAAGTTTCCCAAGGAATGAGAGGTGTAAGCCACATGCCTGGCACTAGCATAGACCTTAAAATCTTCCTATTTCAAATTACTACCTTCTTGATGACCCTGATTTCAAGGGCTTGTAAATGCTGTTAAATATTAGGATTAAGAAACACTGGAAAGGGGCTGGAGAGATAGCTCAGGAGTTAAGACAACTTGCTGTTCTTACAGAAACCCAAGCTCGGTTCCCAAAAACCACTGTGACTCCAGTTCCAAGGGATCTGACGTCTTCTTCTGGCCTACATACATGTAGAAAACATACACATATACATAAATAAAAATAAATTTTGGGTCAACCAGATGGCTCAGCGGGTAAGGACATTTGCTGCCCAGCCCAATAACCTGAGCTGAATCCTTAGAACCCAAATGGTGAAAGGATAGAACTGACTCCTGCAAGCTGTCCACAGGCATGGCATAGCATGGATATTCTCCCCAACCCCTACACAAAGTAAATCTTAAAAAGAAAAAGAAAGACTATAAACATTGTTTTGGACTTGAGAAAGATTTCACAATATCATTACTTCTTTGTGAGGAATTTAGTTTCACAGGCAAATCATTTTTTTCTTTTTTTTTTTTTGGTCTTTTTGAGACAGGGTCTCCCTATAGCCCCAGCTGTCCTGGAACTCACTATGTAGACCAGGCTGGCCTTGAACTCAGAGATTCACTTGCCACTGCCTCCCAAGTGTTGGGATTAAAGGCATGTACCACCACACCTGGCACAAATAATTTCTTAATGCCCTGAATTATGATAGCTGACTTTAGAAAAGCTCACATATTCAGGGAGCACTAAGAGGCAGATGCTTTCAATCTAATGCCACCAAGGACAGAAAACAAACACAAAACCTGTGCCTTTTGGGTAAACTCATATTTTTGTACAGGAAAAAACAAAAAATGCTAGACACAATCACAATTATTCCAAAGTAGCAGCTGAACCCCAGAAAATGCCCTCCCTTTCTTTTCTTGTCCTCAGTATTCAACCTGCTGTTCCTAAGCCAATGGCTGCTAGTTACCCGGAATTAGCCTAGCATGCCAACAGAGCAGATGTCAGAACTCTTTTTTTTTTTTTTTTTTTTTGGTCTTCTTGAGACAGGGTCTCCCTGTAGCCACAGCTGGCCTGGAACTCCCTATGTAGACCAGGGAGGCCTCCAACTCACAGAAAACCGCCTGCCTCTGCCTTCTCAGTGCTGGGATTAAAGGCACCTGGCTCAGGCATCAAAACTTTTGTGATGGGTTTCCAGTTAGAAAAGAAGGGATAAGCTGGATGTCCTGGCTCAAGCCTATGGCTAGCCAGGGCTACAAAACAAGACCTAGCCTCAAAGAACAAGGGGCTGAAGAGATGTCTGAGTGGTTAAGAGCACTCGCTGGCCTTGCAGAGGAGCATCATGTGGTTTCCAGTACCTACATGGCTGCTAACAAATGCCTGCCAATCCAGTGCCAGAGGATCCGACGCCCTCTTCTGGCCTCTGTTGACGCTGCATGCACAGGAGCACTTATGTGTAAGTAGGTAAAACATTCATACACATTAAAAAAAAATTAATTTGTCCAGGCGTGGTGGTGCACGCCTCTAATCCCAGCACTGGGAGGCAGAGGCAGGCAGATTTCTGTGAGTTCAAGGCCAGCCTGGTCTACCTAGTGAGTTCCAGGACAGCTAGGGCTACAGGAGACCCTGTCTCAAAAAGACCACAAAAAAATAAACAAATAAAATAAAATAAATAAATAAATAAATTAAATTAAAAAAAGAAATATATTGCAAAAATTCAATAAAAAGATTACAACATATTTTAAATCCTTCATTTGATTCTCCCCAGAGAGAATGAACACACAGCACATAGGAGGGGCATGAAAATCTTTGTTGAGCAAGGTAAGACTTGTTTTAGTTGCAATCAGGTTCTCCAAGTTCACAAATGTAGTCAAGGGCCAGGAAGGCAGAGGGCGGGTTGGGGTGAGACAAAGCCTACGCACTCCGTACTGACGGATTCATCAAGACAGTTATTAGAGTCCAATTTCATAGGACAGATACAAATAGAATAAAATTTCTGTATCTCTCATGATGCTCTGCATATACTGAATAAATAAAACTCCACAAACCAAAAAATCTTTTCCTTGTGTATTAAGCCCCCCTGATCAAAGCTACCGTTCTCACTTATATTACCCGCATGTTACCTATGGATGTCTAATGAGAACAAACCTGACCTTGGAGACTCAGGTGAGCCAAAAAAGGAAAGCAGATTGTCCAACAGGCTAAGCTGACACAGTAACAGAAATAGAGGTGGGTGTGTCCTATCAATACACACTCCATCAAACAACTCACAGAGGCGAAAGTGCCAATCTGCTTGATGTTCTGCTCATAGCTCTGTGAGCTGGTGGGACGGCCTGGGGTCCTTCTAGAGTACCAAAACGTATAGTTGTACTGCAGGGGATGTTCTGCTGGTCCAGGGACAACAGCCTGAAAAGCACAGAAGGTAGGTTAGTCCTGGCCATTTGTCACATGCAGTGAGTTCAAGAAACATTTTATTTTTTAAAGATTTTTTTTTTTATTTGTGTATGTGTGCATGTGCCCATAGAGTCCAGATGGTTGTGAGCCACCCAACATGGATGCTGAGAACCAAACTCCAGTCCTCTGTAAGAGCAGCAAGTGCTAAGCCATTTCTTCAGCCTCTTATTTTTTTAATTTAAGAAGTTATTATCAGGGCTGGAGAGATGGCTCAGTGGTTAAGAGCACTGGCTGCTCTTGTAGAGGACCCAGGTTCGATTCCCAGCATCCACATGGTGGCTACAGTCCTTAACTCCAGTTCCGGGTAAATCCAAAGCCCTCTTCTGACCTCTGCGGCATTGTACAACATGGATGCAACTCACATACATGCAGGCAATATACTCACACATAAAATAAAAATAAAAAATAAAGCATTTTTAAAAAAGAAGTTATTATCACCATTATCTTGTATGTACATGTGTGAGAGTAAGCGTGGGCACATGGTGCGTGTATGGAGGTCAGAAAACAACAGATTGGTTCTTTCCTTCAAAACAATAGGAATATGGGGATTAAATCTGAGTTATCAGGGTTGCATAAGTATTTTTACCTGTTGAGCCATCTCTCTGACTCCCCAAGAAACATTTCACAGTGTCATTCCTGCCAGGCATGATGGTACTCAAGGGGCAGAGAGACAGGTGGATCTCTTGTGAGTTCAAGGCTAGCATGTCCACATAGCAAGTTCCAGGCCGCCAGGGCTACATAGTGAGTTTCTTTTCTTTTTCGTCTTTTTGAGACAGGGTCTCTCTGTAGCCCCAACTGTCCTGGAACTCACTATGTAGACCAGGCTGACCTTGAACACACAGAGATCCGCCTGCCTCTGCCTCCCCGGTGCTGGGGTTAAAGGCGTGCGCCACCATGCCCTCTACATAGTGAGATTGTGTCTCAAAAAAGAAAGAAAATACAGTGTCAGTGTCATTGTTTATCAGCTCTGCAACTGGGGTGAGGGTTGGGGTATCTCAATTATTTTCATTTTGGTGAAGTCTGCTCACACAGTAATTTCGTTACTAGTCAAATGATTCTAAGCTCTTGGAACAGTTTGTGTTCCTATGGCTTTTTAACCTTTTCCCTCACATTACAGGGATTCATCCCAACATACACCTGGTCCAAGCACTGCCTCCTCAACACTTAATCACAGAAGTGGGAGGTTGCTTCACTTGCTTGTGCCTTATAACCACCTCAGAAGGCTGCCAAGAGGATCAAATGAACCAGAAGCTACAAAGAGCTTAGGTTCTGCCTGACCCAGAGTAAGTGCTCACTGAATGTAAGTTCCTTGACCCACAGGCTCACCACCTTTGTGTCTGCCTACTACCTATCAGAATATGCTCACACTTGAAAGGTATTCATTACCGTGCAATAACCTGAGTGCTATGGTATCTCGAGGAAAAACTTGATTCACCTTGCTTTCATTCCCTAAATTTTCTCTATGCCAAGCCATGTTGATTGTGGATTACTACTCACTAAGGAGTCTGAAATAGGGATGAACAGGACTGAACCACCGAGCACCTTCTCAAGCATCTCCCCATCTCACACAGGAGCTGCTGCAAGCAAGGCAGTGCCCCAGGGTCTCACAACAAGGAGCTCTAGTCCAAAGTGAACTCTAGTGACTCCACAATCTTTAAAACTCATAATTACAGATGCATGAGTGGTTCTGCAGGGACATTTCCATACGTGCATCTGTCACGTATTGGTCATCCCCACCCGCCCACATGTCCTCTTGTCCTCCCTCCGTTCCTCCAAGTCTTTTTTTTTTCTTTTCAGTCCTAGGGCTTGAACCCAAGGCCTCATGCATGTTAGTCAAGTGCTGTGAACTATATCCCCATCCCTACAATCTTTTTGTGTGTCTGCATATGTTCATGTGTGTGCACAGGTGTATGCAAATGCATGTGGAGGCCAGAGGTCTCTCCAGCCCTCCAATCTTCTTTTTTTTCCTGAGAATTCAGATATTCCAAAAGACTATCATCAAATTAATCTGCTATCTTCTGGATGAACAGATTCCATAAGAATCTCAAGTCCAAAGGTAACTGCATCTGCACAACTCAAAGCATACCTTACGCTTGCTGCTGCTCTGACTCTTGTCACGTTCCGTTTTTTCCTTCTCACCATCTTTCTGTGTGCTGTTTTCTTCATTCTGATCATGGTCTCCACTGTCGTCATCTTTCAAGCTAAGTGGGAAAGCACAAGAATGTCATCACATGACTAAACTATTCTTGGCACCTAACAAACCATCAGGTCATAAAACTACCATATAATGGGGCTGGAGAGATGGCTCAGTGGTTAAGAACACTAGTTGTCCTTGCAGAAGACCCAGGTTCGAATCCCAGCACCCACATGGCAGATAACAACTGTCTGTAACTCCAGTCCCAGGGGATCCAACAGTCTCTTCAGACCTCCTCGGGCATTGCTCAACACGGGTACACTTATCTACAGGCAGGCAATACACACATACACATAAAATAAAAAAAGAAAAAAGAAAAAAACTACCATGTAACTAACCCTAAGGCACTCAAATCACAGGCCTTGGAGAAGTATCTGAAAGGAGGCCAAGGAAATCAAATTAGGAGGATTAAATAAAAATGAAATGCCCATCAGCTAATCTGTGAACTCCAGAAACACTGTCTTTCAGTTTCCCAACAAGCTGTACAACTAGGTGGTTAAAGGGATAGTTTTCATTGTCAAACACAAGTCAGTAATGAGAAGTTTCTGGATGAATAATTTCTTTGGCATTTGGAAGTTAAAAACTTGCCTCTCTATATATGTTGCCATGGTCTCTCACCACTCCTAGCCTTCCTCACTCCATGCCTTAGGTTAGCCCTCTGCTCCAATCACCCCACTCACTATCAATCTCCATCACTATCAAAAAGGGCTCCTGACACAAATCTCTGCTCTCCATCTGTCCTCTAAATCTTTCTAAATGTAAATGTGATTACTTAACTTGCATCCTTAAGGCTCCTAACTGTTCACTCCCTTGATGCTGACCCTCTGGAATGAAGCACAACAAGAAGCAAAGACCCTTTCGAATCCAAGTCCTCCCACTGGATCCTCCCCTCTTCCCCTCCCCCAGCAACTCTTCCCACTGGCAAACATCTGGCCTCCCTCTGTTTCTTCTACTAGATGGAGGGTTTCTTCAGAACACTGTTTTACACCATCTCAGTGTCACTGGCACCCAGAACAAGATGATGCTGAATAAATGTTAAATGAAAAGGAAAAATAAAAGAAGGAATGACTATGTGCCTGGATCATAAGCAGAGTCAAGTGTAAAACCACCTAAAGGCCTTTAGGTACACCTAAAATCCACCATGCTGACAAAAACACACAGGTGAGTGCCTGAAGATGTGAGTGCCATTTACTTGGGTTGGTAAGATGGCTCAGTGGGTAAGGACACTTGCTGCCAAACCTAATGACCTGATTCAATCCCTGGAACTCACAGTGTAAGAAGTGACTCCCAAAAGTGGTCTTCTGATCGCCATACTTGCACTTGTACGTGGCACTCACACACCTATACACACTTTAAAGAAAAAAAAAAAAAGAGGCCGGGCATGGTGGCACACCCCTTTAAATCCCAGCACTTGGGGAAGTGGAGGCAGAGGCATAGGCAGGTGGATCTCTGTGAGTTTGAGGCCACCCTGGTCTACATAGTGAGTTCCAGGCCAGCTGGGGCTACAGGAAGATCCTGTCTCAAAAGACAGAAAATAGGATGGCATTTGTCATTAACCCATGGGTTTTCTCCAGAATCATCTTTTAGGCTCCATGACAGTATGAATCGATAAATGGAATTAGGCAATTCTCAAGACAAGACAGGTACCAGAAATGCTGCAATTATAACTCAGGTATTAACCTATACAGATAAAGACATGTCAGAGGGCATTTTGCATTTAGAGCCCCACCCCCAAATCCTCAGTGCTCAACATACAAAATGCACCCCATAAATTGGATGGATGAGCTACTCATGTGTTGGGGTGCCCGCTGTGCCCATGTGGCAGCCCCACCATAGGAGGTCTACTCAGGCAATCATGCCCTATGACATGGACCTCTGCATCCTTGCTCTGGTCAAGAGGTAAGGTACATGAGCAAAGGGCAATCCAGCCTGCCTAATAACCTGTGGAAACCTCAGGACCCTGCCCCAAAATACAGATCTCCTTCCACAATGATTTTTTTCCCAGAAAGGAAATACCAAAGATTCAGAAGCTAGAGCTGCTATCCCACAAGGGAAATCAGGACTAAGAGAAAAGTAGACAAAGCCAGTCCGAGAAAGAGAATGGAGAACGGAAATGATGAGAAGGCAGGTGTGGTGGCAATGCTAATGCTGCCATCCCTCTGGCCTGTGTCAGCCTCCCTGGACTCACTGGAGGCTTCATCTATGAGTATGATATTTTCTTCCCCTTGATTAAACTTGCACTGTTTAGAGCCTGTGTTGGTTGGATACAAGTCCTACAGATTAAAAATTACCAACACTTTCCAAGCATCGAGTGGCTGTTCCAAGGACCTACCTAAGAAAATAAGGTAGACAGACACAGCCTCATCTTGATGCAAAGGCCCCTGCTCTGCTCCGATGTCCCAATGGCATCTCTTGCCTGGTCCTAACAAACTCCTCCTAATGCAGCTGAATCCACCTAAGTGTATGTGGGCAAGCCTCCACCCCAGGATTACTGTTCTTCAGGACTCACTTTCTCTTGGAAACATTTCCTAATCTCTCCCACCACAGTACCACAGATTAAGTCAGACTACCCTCCTCTGCTCCTACCCATTCAAACACCTCTACTTGTCCTTTTATACTGACAAGGCCAATGAATCAGGCAAGCATGTCTTCTGGTTAAAAACACTGCATAGATTTTTCTATTGCTTAGACCCAAGACAACTAACTCTCTTCTGCAGGGCATACTCTAGAGATGCAAACTGTTTTGCTCTTTTTCTTTTTAGTTCCTAGTCCCTATTGTAGCCTCTGAAGTTCCTCCATTAGATCCTGAAGATGGGCAGTTACCCTAGGAGCTCCCATTTTGGCAGCCCCAGGAAAAATGTTAAGTTCCTTTCCTTTCTAGTAGTTTTCCTATAGTTACTACCAGGAAACAGAAACAAAAATAACTATTTCAGAGAAAAAAAAAACTGTATTATCATGCCTGGGCCATTTTGGACTCTTTTCTAAGCTAATAAATAGGAACCCGAATGGACTTCGTTGTCTTTGTGTTCCGGCTTCTGTTCTTGTTTTGGTGGTAGCGGTAATAGAAGCCAGGGCCTCATTCACAGAAGGCAAATGCTCTACTACTGAGTTACATAACCAGCTCCAGTGCTCTTATTTCTTCAGGGAGGAGTGAACCAACTACCCTGTTCTCTGAGCCTACACCTGAGGCAAATCTTTTACAATCTACTTTTCAGAGGCTGTTCTTTCCAATTTGGAGCTGGATTTGAGGTACAGCCTAGACTGAAACAGTAGTGCTACATACACTCTGGCTGGCCAATTCATGTGAGAGGCTGTCCAGATTGAGTGACACCTTGGTTAGCTCCCCAAGCTTCTGTCCCGGTATTTCTCAACTAGACCAAATCTGTGCAGGTAGGAACTTGATCTAATTCTCCATTGTATCTGTAGCATCAGATACAAGCATAAAACAATCACCTGTTAATTAACGGATCTCTAAAATCAAAGTGGTAAGTGTCAAATTAAGGTGGTTTAGGTAACAGTTAAGAACAAGCCAAAAGCTAATGACAGAGAATAGAAAGCAACAGACATAAAAACATGACCACATCAAATATGGCATCCAAAAACCCAAGATCTGAAAATCAAGTTGTTGGGGCTGCAGTTTCTGGAAAGCATCTTAGAGTTTTACATGTTGGCCAGGACCTAGAAACTTAGTGGGTCTACTGTCTTTTCCGTTATACCAAGCACCACCTTTGGCTGCATTCACAGAAGCAGAGCCCACATAGTAGAGGAAGTTAGAATGGCTCTTTAATCTGAGTCCATCAGAGCATACAGACTATTGCGCCACTAGACACTGCACTTTGAGAATGATTCTAAGAAACAGGGAGATATAGCAAGGAATGTAGACTCTAAATATGTAACAATAGTCTACATATTGCAGGATTTTCACAGGAAAACCAAAAATGACAAAAACAAAACTAGGAGCAGGGGTGTGACCTTCAATTGCTAATTTCAAATGAAAGAAAGTTTTATTATTATTTTTTTTTCTGCAAAGTTGGAAGGCAGGTGTTAAAAAGGCCCTGGCTCTGTACAACAGCTAACAAGTAATTAAAATTACCCAGGATAATTTTGGTCAAAATTCCCTAGTTCCAGGAACAAACAACTGCAAAGTGCAGAGGAGAAACATGAAGAACTAGACACCTGAAGGAAGCGCAGTTAAAGAGCAACCCGAGCTGGCCCTTTCTGCTATCCTGCAGCAGTTAGTGTGGGACAATCTCATTTTCCTTACCTGTAAAAGAGATAACAAGATCTCTCTGATAGAGTTATGAAGAAAAGAGTGGGAAATAGAGGGCAACAGAACACACAAAAGGAAAGAAGGGAGCACTAACTGGAAGGGAACCTAATGGAGGGAGGGAGGGAGGGACCACAGAGAGGGCAGTGGGAGGCAAACACTGAAGTACGAAGGTGCCCGGGATGAAACCCATTCCTTTGCCTGCTAACCTAAACAAATTAAAAAGAGAAATACCTAGAGAGCTGCCTGGGAAGGCCACTATTACCATTCCTACTCTGCAACAGATGACCCATAAAGGAACTTCTTAGGATAATCTGTTCACGCAAGGAAAGGTGCAGATCCGCAGCAAGGTATTGCAGGGCTTATGGAGGCGAAGTTGGACAGAGCAAGAGGTCATCAGGGCTGCGTTCAGCAAGCAGAGATCCCTCAGCCACCAGGAAAAACTGCCTAAGGAGCTGCCCTAACTGCTGGAATACGGCAGTGAGAACTTCCTAGGTTTGCACACCAGAAGGTGCTGTGTTGAAAACCCCCAGCCTTCCATCAACAGCACCAGGTCTCGACCTAGCAAATAGTAATTCCACTTTGCATGTGTGCATCATTATCAGCGTTTCCCATAACGACCTCTAAGCATTGTTGTGTATGATCTAATCCTTCCAGCGGGCACTAACCACTAAAGTTAGGGCACAACAGTTCACAGACTGGGGAACTTTTGTACTGTCAAAAAGCTGGAGGGTTCAGGACTAGAAATGTAGGTCTTTGGATGAGAAGTCAGATTAGATCACTAGCAAGGAGAGAAAGGAAGGAAGACTATAATCTCCCAAAAGATGCAATCCTTGTAAAAACACTTAAGTTTTTGAAAATAATTTTTTTAAGCGCAAAAACAGAATCCTCAAGAGGGAAATAACCGCCAAACACTTTTATGCTTCTTCTCTGTACCTCGCAACGGTTCGATGCTAGAACTAGGGCTGAGGGTGGACGTCCACGGTGAGCCAGGAACAGGAGGGGGAGGAGGGAGGAAGCCGGAAGATGAAAAGCGCGGCTGCCCCATTACCTCATCGCAGCTGCACACCTCTCCCACACGGACTGCTACCGTCCCCGCTTGCAGAAGAGAAAAACGGGGTTCAGAGGACAGCGGTGACCTTCCAGGAACCCGGAGCCGGCAGGAGGACAGCGGGGTACGGACAGCCGCCACGGAAGCACCCGGGTCGCCGAGGTCCCGCCCCTCCACGCCGCCCGCGGCCCGCACCCACCGGGGCGGGGCGTCCGAAAAGCTCCTTCCGGGCGGCGCGGCCTCCCCTCCCCTCCCCTGGCCCGCGCCTCGGTCAGACGGCCCTGGGGTCCCCGCGACCCCGGCCCCTCATGGCCGCCCGGTCCTGCTCGCGGGGCCCTGGGAAACTCGGGCCGCGGCGGCAGGGGGGCGAGGCGGGACGGGTCTGCTGTGCGCGTCAGCCCCGGCCGGGGAAGCTCCGGGAGACGGTTGGGGAGGGGAAGGGGCCCCGGGGGCGGCCACCCGCCACTCACGCGTCGAACTTGTTGTTCATCCTTTTGCAGCCGCTGTCGCCACTGCCTCACGGAGGGACTTCCGCTCTGCCCGGTCCCTCCGCCAAGGGCCCGGCCACTTCCGGTTGGCGAGGGGAGCGGCGGAACGTTGGCGCGGAGGCCTGGTGGCTGGCCGGTGGGCCGGTGCGCACACGGAGCTGGCGGGGAGCGGCGGGCTCCGGGGTTGCCGGTGGGGTGCAGCCGGGAGAAGGCCGCCAGTCGGCGTCCTGGCGCCTGGTCAAGTCCCAACTCCGCTTCCAGCACGGCCAGGCTTCTGCCTACACTTCCCAAGTCGCTCTGAGGACCCCAGAGACGGGGTCAGCGTGGGACACGCGACCCTCACTGCTGGGCAGCACGGGTTCGTCTCAGAGCGTCAATCCTCGTCCCTCTGCGGGTTTTGGAGAGGTTGCGAAAACATGCCCAACCCATTGTCGTGGTGCTATGCTATCCCATACTTGGGAGGTAGAGGCAGAAGACCACGAGTCCAAGCTGGAGAGATGGTCAAGAGCACTGGCTGCTCTTGAGAACCCAGGTTCCCTTCCCAGCACCCACGTTGTGGCTGACAAGTGTTACTCCAGCTCTAGGGGACCTAAAACCCTCTTCTGGCCTTTGTGGGCGTTGCACGTACACGATGTACCTGCATGCGTGCGCACAAAACCCTCATACACATTTAATATTAATACAATTCAAGATCAGCTTGAGCGGCATAGGGAATTTGAGGCTAGCCTGGGTTACATGAGACCCTACCTTTTAAAAAAAAGTTGCGCCAGGGTGACAAATGTTAAGGCATTTATGGAAGCCTGAGATGGTCTTACTCATCAAATTGCCTCCTCAATCAAAGTCCTTGCCCCCACGCTCTATTGCCATGACCGTCGCCAATACATCACACAGAGGAGTAAATAAAACGAACTTGCTGGTTGGTTCGGGAGCCCCAAAGCCACCAACCCTGTGCATATCTTCCCTGTCCCCTCCACCCATCATGTCCCACTGTTAGGCGTTTATGTGGCACATTCATGATGAAGACGGGTGGAAATTGATGCATGTGTCTATATTTACAGATGGGGAAAAACAAATTCCCGAGACTGGCCCATGGTTACCCCCAAGTCACTCAGAGCAAGGCTTTGTCCCCATTCCCTGAGACCTCAGCTGAGCATCCTCCTGTTTCCTGATACATAGTTCAAGGGTGGCCGATTGAGCTCCCCTGTCAGGCAGAATCCAGTGGCTTTGTTCCTAGCCCTGAAAATGCCCTGTCTTCTGAGGAGCCGGAAAGTTGGATCTTATCTTAGAGTGTCTGAAATTAAGTCAGAGACAGGAATTCTGGACTCCAAAGGAGTGGTGTGGGGAGTTCCTCTCACTCTGAACCTCAGCTTGCTCACTTGAAACATGATAAACTCAGAAATATTTTGTGATAGATGGCAAAAAAAAAGTATAATCACATCAAATGAATCAAAAGGCACTGCTACTAGTGAGTGTTTGGTGCTATGATACCCAGAAGGCAAGGGAGGGACATGCCAGCTGACATGGGTTGATTTTTTTTTTCTCTTTTTCCTTAGAAAACCCAAGATTTCACACTCACTCTACTCCACATCCTTATCCCTGGTGCTCTTCTTTTTAAATTTAAAAAATTTTTATTTTATGTATACAAATGTTTGCCAGCATGTATGTGCCATGTGTGTGCAGTACCTCCAGAGGCCAGAAGAGGGCATCAGATCCTGTGGAACTGGAGTTACTGAAGTTGTTAGTTGCCATGTGGATGTGGGGACTGAACCTGGGTCCTCTGCAAGAGCATCCAGGGCTCTTAACCACAGAGCCATCTCTCCAGCCCCTGGTGTTCTTCTTTAAACAGAGCTCCCCATACTCTTGCCAGCTCTTCCAGAGAAGATTCATAAAAGGTCCTCAGGCCTCAAGGTGTAGGACCTTACCCAGCTAGGGACATCATGAAAAACAGAGTCCTCAGGGCTTCCAGGTGACTTGGTAGTAGTGCTTTGCTGAAGTGAAGGGTGTGTTAAGTGGAAGAGTGGTTCCTGGAGAAGCCAGACAGCACCTCATGGACATCAGCCCCAATATCATGTGTAACCACACCCATCCCAAACCACTCCAGAACTTCAGTTCTCTCTTTATTCTTCCAGCTCTTCTCAGGGCTGTTTCCTTTCTTCCCGAGGAGCATACTCAGCATCCCAGAAGTAGAATGCAAGGACAACACGACCCACAGAGCTGACGTTCCCGGGGGGCGATTGTTGGCTCAGTCTGGCAAGGGCAGGTAGGGGTGAGGGTCCCCGGGGAATGGCAGGTCAGGCACCCGGTTGTAATGCGCCATGAGGAAGATGCCAGCAGTGCCGCAGATGAAGAGTGTGAGCATGACCAGGAAGCAGACCCGGTCCAGCACACGGCCTACCAGGAACCACTCCTCGTTCCCCTGAGGACAGCAGCACAATGGGGGTGGGGGTCGGGGGTGGGAGTTTCCGGGAGCAACAGCTAGCCTGGCTGCCTTTTTCATCCACAGGCTTCCAGCTGGCCTCCTGTCTCCATTCCATCAGCCTTCTCACCTCCATCTGGACCCCAATCTGTCTTCCATAGTCCCTGTCCCAGAGGTCCCTCCTCCCTGTTCCCAGCTCTGATTTTTTCCCCTATCCCCCACCCTACTCATCCGGTCTTCACCTTAAACCAGGTAGTCACCCCACCCAGCCCCGGCTTACACTGTCAAAGTGGTTCTGCTGGTGCTGAGACCGAGCCATGAGGTTGCAGGCGTCCACGCAGGCCTGGATGGCTGGGGCGGCGTGCTTCAGGCTGCCACAGAACTGGCTCTGCTCCATTTCTGGGCCTTTCTCTGACAGAGAAATAAGGTAAATAGATGAGAGCAGGAAGGTAGCTTTCTCCCTAGAGACTCAGCCCCTCACCCCAACTTGAACACTTGCCCAGCACTTACGTGCTGTGTCTAGCCCCATCTGCATTCATTGGGCAGGAATGGCTCCAGGGGCACCCTCGGGCCTCACCTAGCTTCTCCAGTGCTGCTCGCACAAGCCCATTGCCCTGTCGCTGTCTGAAGAGGAGTTCACTTCGAGGCAGACAGGGGCCCCCTTCATCCCTGGTTGTAATGGGCCACCCTGAAGGGGAACCGTTCTGGAGCTGGGGCCTAGCATCCTGCGCAGGGGCCAGTGGGCGCACATGCATCCGCAGCAGCTGGGGTAGGAGCCTCAAGAATACCTGCAAGGAGGGGGTGTTCTGATAGACTGCTTGAGCAGTCAGGCTGAACTTGGGAACAGAAGTAGGAGGTGGGTATGAAGGCAGTGCCTTAGAGGTAGCGACTGGGCCCTGGTGCAGCTTCCCTGACTGCTTTGTTCTGGACACAGAGCCCCAAGCCTGTGGGACTTTGTGGACTTCAGAATCACCAGGGCACAAACTTGTACCTCCACTCCCTGATATTCTAACCTAGGCTACCTGGGTGGATCTGGGGACCCACATTTGCAACATGAGGTCCAGCTGTCTACTGCAGGTGGGCTGCACATCACACAGGCTGTAGAACCAGACAGCAGGGTCAGACTCCTCCCTTCTTTGCTTTCTATCTGTAATTTTGGCAAGACTGCTTAACCAGTCTGTGCCTTAGTTTCCCCATCTGTTAAATGGAAATGATACCAATACCCATTTACTGGGTTTATGAAGATTAAATAAGTTGGTACATGTAATATTAATGTCCCTGGTATGTAGTGAACACCGAGAGTATCATTAGTCCACTTCATTATACACCTTACCTATAGTATAAGTTTGTAGCTGAATTTGACAGACAAGAAATAGGGGTGGATGTGGAGGAGTCATGTGACTGGGCAGGACAGGAGGATTCCCCAGTGGGCAGGGAAGTGCCTTGCCTTTCGGACCCCTCGGGCCATGGAGTGTGTGTGGGGGGATCGCAAGGACACGTTGAGCACGACCACAGAGTTCACAACAATGAGGATGGTCACCACCATGAGGAAGGTCAGGTACCTGTTAGGGTTGGGTGAGCAGGAGGCTGGGTGTCCTGTGGGCGCCTCAGACCTAGATGCCACCCTCCCTTAGTGACCGTTTCTTCCCTCACGTCCACCCCCTGGTGGAGAGTCATGAAAGAGGCCTCAGGAAGGGAAGGAGGGGGGCTGGGGATATAGATCAGCAGTAGAGCACTTGGTTAGCTAGGTCCTGGGATGCAGGATGGGGGTTGGTAAGTGGCAGATGTGAGGACTGGCCTTACTTGCTGATGAGTGGCACTGCCTGGGAAGTCTCAGGCACCTTCTTGGCCACGAGGAAAAGGAAGACAGTCTGGGCCAGGAGCACGTTGATGGCCACTGTGCACTTCTGGCCTCCCGCTGCCCATGATGAAGATGCCCTCAGAACAGGTTTCCGTCCCTCCTGCCCACCTCGAGGAACCCCTTCACTTCACAGGGTGCTCACTGCTCCCGTCCTGGAGCTGTAGTGCCTCCCTGTGCCTTGGGTAGGGCCTGCACCGGCCTCCCCATGGACTTATGTGCTGCTGCCCTCCCATGGACCAAAATACCCTTGGCAGGAAGGAAGTAGATGAGGATGGCGACGGAGGAGATGAGCACACAAGGAGCGATGATGTTGATGACATAGAAGAGGGGCTTGCGCTGGATGAGCAGATAGAACACCACCTTCTGGTGTCCCGCCTCCTCAGCTGGTGCCGCAGGATCCAGTAGCATCTTGGCTGGCCGGTGCTGGATGGCCCACTCTCCATTCTCTGTTGTGGGCATGGGTTGTGTAAACTGGGTGAACCAATACTCTGAGGGACCTAGTTACAGGGGTAGCATGTTCCGTAACAAGGACCAGCACACAGGACCAAAAATGGAATGGAAGATTGGATATTGATCTCTCTCCTAAAGTTGTAGTAATTGTCATAAGAAAAGTCAGAATTTCATTGAATCTTTTTTTTGTATATGTGGCTTGTAATTGTGTGTGCTTATATGATGTGTGTGTGTGTGTGTGTGTGTGTGTGTGTGTGTGTGTACGTACATGTGGAGGCCAGAGGCTAACATCAGGTATCTTCTGCAATCACTTTCCACCTTATGTATTGAGGTAGGGTCTTCCTTGAACATAGAGCTTGCCAATATGGCTAGTCTGGCCAGCCAACTTGCCCTGGAGGTTCCTTTCTGCCACCCTTGTGCTGGGATTACAGGCAGGCTGCCAATCCCGCCCGGCATTTATGTGGGTTCTAGGGGTCTGAACTCCAATCTTCAGGCTTGTGCAGCAAGCGCTCTTTAGCTGCTGAGTCATCTCCCCAGCCCCCCTTCTTAAAAAATAGTCTCACTGTGTAGCCCAGGCTAGCCTCGAACTTTCAACCCTCCTGAGTGCTAGGATTACAGGCCTGTGCCACCACACCTGGCTCTCTTTTGGGAACTTTTGAAAACAATATGCTATATACTGTAGTTTTCATCTTGAGGTGTGTGGAAGGGCATGGCATTGGTCCAGCAGTGGCACCTGGGTGGGGTTACCTGTGAAAGCTTCAGGGTCAATGAAGATCCACTCAATGGCCTGCCCATCTTCCTGACTCAGCTGCAGGTTGATCTCACTGGTGCTATAAGTCTGGGACCTGCAGGCCCAGAGTGGGAAAGAGGGTAAATTGGATTGAGGGAGACCTACCCATAAGGTCACAGACATAGTCAGCTGAGGGCAACTGTGGGCTTTGGGCTTTGACATGAGCAGCCCCACACTTTGAATTCTCTATCAAGCCCTGGTGGTAGCATGCAGAGGGCCAGGGAACATGGACTCTTTAGGGACCAGAATGAGTGAGTCAAAGGACCAGGAGGCAGCCGTTCTATGTTGTCACCTGGCCAAAGATTCCAGGGCCACTCTATCTGTCCCTTCTGCTGCCAAACACCATAGGGTAAAAATACAAACTGACTTCAACTTTCCTTACAAAAAGAATGCTATTCTGAGATACAGGAAGACTTCCCCCAGAGTACCCCCTACTTATGGATGACAGAACTGAGACCCAAAGGTCCCACATACTTTAGATGTTAGCATTCCCACTTGGGACACAGGCAGAGAAACTGAGGCAATGAAAGATGAGTGAGAGGACTAGAACTTCTCAGGAGGGACATCTTCAAGTATCTCCATCTGAATAGGTAGAGACCTGGGAGAGATTGAGCCAGAGCCCCAGCCTTGAGATAACACAGGTGCTCATCTGTGCTTAGTCTGTCGAGGCCCTTCATAGAGCAGCTTTCTGAAGCTCCCCCCACTCCATCAATGGCCTTACTGGAAGACGAGGGAGCAGTTCTGCCAGTCAAAGGGGAAGTAGGTGACGGAGATGGAGCAGGAGGAGCGGAAGATGGCAGGTGGCAGCCAGTAAATACAGCCGTTGGGGGACACAAGCACATTGCAATAGAGGGCCACCTCGAAGACACCGTCCACACTGTGTGTAAAAATCAACACAAAGAGCTGTGGGCTGACACCCCACAACCCCAGACAGCCCTCTGCCTTGTGTGGATGGTGATCTGGGGGCACTAGTCCCTGAGCCTGCCACACTCCTGACAGGTCCCCCCCTGGCATCACTACTACTCGACTCCAGAAACCTCTTGGCCATCTCTGCTCTGGACCTGAGATGAATACAGAAATCTGGGACAGACAGAGCCAGGCCCCTAGCATTGAGCTAACCTTCCCAGACCCTGTAATCTCTGCTTCTCTTTCTCTGTATTAATAACTACAATCAAGGCAATAGTGGTACCTAACACTGTTAAGCTCTTGCAATTACCTAATCCCGAGTGAGCCACTTTCCATGCCTGACCTGTGACACCTGAGAGCATCTCTAGTTGCCATTGACCCCAGGTCATAGTGAGGGGAGAGGCCCACCCAGGTAGCCTAGCACTGCAGGGATCCAGTGTGCAGTCACGTCTCCTAGCCCTGGGCTTCTGTCCATGGCTGGGGTCCCACCTGGCACCCTACAGCACCTCACTCTGCTTTTCTTTCTCCAAGTCTCCTTGCCTTGCTTAGGCTCTGGCATCGCTTGTCCTCTGACCAACCCCCCTCCTCACTTGTTCTCCAGCACGATATCCGGTCGCCACACCATGGTGGACGGCACCCTCAGCACCCACAGGCCTTCATAATCTTGCGGGTCCCAGCGCAGGCGATAGTCACACCACTGCTGTGGGGAAAGGGACAGCTGCCGGGCCTCTGCCCTGGGCTACACAGGGGTGGAGAATGGCAGCCCAGCCCAGAAAGCCCAAGAGATTTGTGAAGGGGCAGCACTGACAGGCAGAAGGGGGCTTCTTACCATTTCTATCCAGACGTTGGTTGTAAGGGCCTCTTCTCGCTCATTCTGAGGTACAGAAGGGAGGGATAAATCACCTGTGCTTCCCTCCCCTAGGTCCTGATGTACTCAACAGCAATTGATGGAACCAGGAGGTTCCCAGCCTTTTGAGTCTTGAGCAATGTCTCACAACCATGGATTTCCTGATCCCTGGCCCCCCTACTGTGGGACCTTTTGCTGTCCTGGTTGCTGGAGCTAGGTCCCATCTTCTCAGCAAGTCTGGGAGCCTGGTGCCCCATCATTTCCCACTCCTTGAGCTCACCAGGGAGATGAGGTTGGTGAGGGTAAGCTTCAGGCTGACGTTGACCACATCTGAGTCTCGCTCAGCTGGCCGAAGATGGGGGTCATAGCTGTGCATCAGGTCAGCAAGCAGACGCTCCTCCTGGTTGCGGCCCTGGGTCCCTACAACAGACAGCAGAGCCTTACTGCAGAGCAGTGGGAGGCACGGGGGCAAAACAGAGACTCAGGGTTTCGGGGTTAGGGAGAGCACAGGGAGTCTCCAGACCCTCCAACCCCTGTAACCTTGGAACCCTGAACCGTTCCTTCTACCCCCAGGTCTCAAATCCCCTGTGTCATACCCAGGCAGACGACCAGCAGCAGCAGCAGCAGGAGGAACCACAGCCCCTGGCCCCCATGCATGGTGCCTCAGCTCTGCCCAGTGATAGGGTGGAACAGTAGCTTTCCAGGTCTAGGGCAGAGAGAGATGGGCTGGGGTGTCGTGTGTCAGCCCACACTCCTAACCCAGCCAGCCCTGCCAGCTCTACTTGGCCCCAGCAGCTGTCTGACCACAGCATTGTCAGCTGTCCCAGGATGTGCACAATGCTGGGCTCAGATTACCGGGGCCAGCCAGGGAAGTGGGACCACATCATTCCAATAAAGACAGCCCACCCTCAAGCTTGGTTGCCTCAGCCCTATGCCTGTTTTCCTAGCTGGGAGACTTAGCAAATGGCTAGGGACAGATGGGTGTGGGAAAGGAGGTGGTGCTAAGGAGCTGGTGGTGGCTGATCTGGCACCCTCTTCGCTGCCTTGAGGTGTAGGTCTGTTGGGCAGTCGTGATTCGTACATAAGGTTCTCTGTGACTTGCCTTAGTTCCCCAGTTTTGTCCCAACAGCCTGATGCCTCCATGGTTCACTCCATTGGGCTGAAAAATGGAGTGAAGCGTCTGCAGGGGTGTTTAAGCACTAGACATTGTGATATCCTGTTTTCATTTACAAGTGTATCAGGTGTATCCTGGGATGCATGTAGCCATCTTGGGATGCATGTGGCCCGGAGGCCACGGATGGGAAAGAAAGCTGTATGTGCACCCCAGACTTTGGCATGCACAATAAGGGTCCCATAGCTCCTCCTATGTCCTGAGATGGGACCACAGACCTAGCAAGCTTTGAGGTTAGGAGAGGTGAGAAGAACCTGAAATGTGAGGCTCTTGTGACTAGGCCAGTTCTTTCACAGCGGCTTGTCTGTGTGGCTGCAGTTTATAAAAGCATCTGACAATGGCCGGGTGTGGTGGCGCATGCCTTTAATCCCAGCACTCGGGAGGCAGGCGGATCTCTGTGAGTTCAAGGCCATCCTGGTCTACATAGTGAGTTCCAGGACA